CACAGGAAAGAACGCACACACACACACACACACACACAGAGCCACGATCAAGTGCTTGCATAGATATTTCTATCGAGCGGTGGCAGGCTCTGCCGGCTTGGATCGATACACTCAGCTGTGTCTGTACCATTCTGAGGTGCATTCTAATAGCTCCGAGAGCCAAAGCAAGTTAACTGCCTGCTACAATACAGTACACAGCATCTTCTTTCCAGCATTCACACGAACCTCTCTGATGCATTATAGCATAAGAGCACTTGGTAATGTGATCAGAACATTTCCAGGAATATTCACCATCTCGTCTCTCACAAATGAGCATCTGTCTGTCTAGCTATAGATGTAAGTTGCAGTACAGGAATAGTTCACCCAAAAATGAAAATTTGCTGAACATTTTCTCACCCTCAGGATATCCAAGATGTAGATGAGTTTGTTTCTTCCTCAGATTTGGAGAAGTGTAGCATTACATTACTTGCTCACCAATGGATGCTCTGCAGTGAATGGGTGCCGTCAGAATGAGAGCCCAAACAGCTGATAAAAACGTCACAATAATCCACAAGTAATCCACACCACTCCAATCCAGCAATTAACATCTTGTGAAGCCAAAAGCTGCATGTTTGTAAAAAACAAATCCACCAAGGCATATTAACTTTAAACCATCACTTTCTAGTCAAAATACAAGCCCAAAATCCACAATAACACTTCTTCCAGTAAAAGAAGTCCATCCCCTATTGTCCTCTCATATCAAAATCCACCGACATATTTTTTAGAACTTTTTTGGACTGTTTTCACTTGTAAACAGTGCTTGATCTGTGCATATTTCTCTCCTGATTCAGACAAGACAACTTTTTCATTGGAGGGAGCCAAAATACGAAGCCATAATCCATAATAACACTTCCTCCAGTGATTAAGTCCATTGCTTGTTGTCCTCTCACATCAAAATCCACCAAAATATGTTTAGAATTTTTTTGGACTTTTTTCACTTGTAAACAGTGCTTGATCTGTGCATATTTCTCTCCTGATTCAGACAAGACAACTTTTTCATTGGAGAAAGCAATATTATGGATAGAGGACTCATATTTTAGCCAGAAGCAACGGTATGAAATTTAAAAAAAAAAATTTTATCAGCTATTTGGACTCTCATTCTGACGGCACCCATTCACTGCAGAGCATCCATTAGTGAGCAAGTGATGTAATGCTACATTTCTCCAAGTCTGTTCCCATGAAGAAACAAACTCATTTACATATTGGATGGCCTGAGCATGACTATTTTCAGAAAATTTTCTTTTTTGAGTGAACTACTCATTTTAACATGGAAAATTTTATGAGGGCAAAGCATCAGTAATATCTGCCCTGTAACAGCAGCAGAATCCAAAAAAAGTATGTGTGAATGCTTTAATGCCACTGCAGATACAATACACGCAGACAACGCCCCCACTTCTCTCCATTTATCTATCTGCTCTCATTCTTTGTCCTACATGAACGAGCTGCAAAGAAAACCACTAGACAAAAGAAGAAAGAGAAAACTGCTGTCTGCTCACACCTAAATATCAGCCCGAACACAATGCTGTCTAACACAATACTTGCAATTGTAACGAAATTCAGGGAGAGATTTTTCACAAGCACGGTATTCAATTCTCCGTCTCCCTCCTACTGTCTCTTTCCTCTTTTAAACTGAACTCACACATGCATAGACATGAAATGTGAACAGCTTCTCACATGGGGAGGTTTGATGTCTATCAGCTCTGACTTATTGCACCTCTGCACAGAAACAATGGGTAATCACACACACACACACACACACACATATACATATATATATATTGACAGTTTTCATATACAGTAAATGACACAAAATCTGATTCCTGCAATTAACTTACACTGAAGTAATTTGCATTATTAATACTGTGTGATAGGATTTGAAACATTTCAGCTCTCAGTTCATAATTCAGAGGAAATAAATGCTGTTTGGTAATGGAAAATGAAAGACTTCAAATGAATAATTTTAGCAGTTCCACATTCTAATTTAAAATCAAACTTTAAAACAGTACAATTCTAAAGAGTTCATTTCTATTCCATTCACATGCAAAGTGATTTCAGCACCTTCAGCAACCTTCAGCACCGCCATGAATCATTAGACACTCACTATTCCCCCGGGCTCTGAAGCTATCTTCACTATTCTGACAACATCTTTCAAAAAAGCTAGCAAATACATGGCAGAGTAATGAAAAGCATCCACGCAACTCACACAGGAATGTACATAGACATACAGACTCTAGAAAGGACACTTAAGCCCCATTTAAACAAAAACGTTGTGTTTGTCATTAATGAAACACGTTTATAGTTGTTCATGTGACTACACTGCATATATCCACTAAACATCATCAAAACACCAGCTTATTACAAGACATTGAGCAAAAATGATGAAGAAAAGTGAAAACAACGAAGAAAACACCATTTCATTTCATCTTAGATGCAACCTGCTTTAATATTTTGTATCTAATGCAATGGCAGTCAGACATTTTTAATGCGTACAAAAAATTTCTGGAGTCACTGTAGAAATATGATAAGTCATACTAACCCAAGCGTGCTTGCATATTTCATATTGATTGAAAGTCTTCAATCAATTGCACTCCAACAACTCCAAAATCCAGTTTCAATTGTTGGCACATTCCAGAAGATCTGACACTATCTGATTCTACATGCTGAACTGCATGCTTGGCCTGTTTAAATTCAACTCTTTCTTCCTCCCCCGTTTCCTTTTTAATTTTCCCCCTCAATCCACCTCCTTGGGTTTTGATCATTTTTAGCTAATTAAGCCCTTTGAAAAGCCCAAGAACAAGTCATCAAGAGGAGGAAGAAACTAAGTGAAGTGCAGATTCAGTGATCCATCTCCCAAAATGCATTGCAACAAACCCCCACAGCAACAAACAAGTGAGCTAAAGACGGCAGAGAAGGCGGCCATGTCGATGGTTCGCCAGGACCAAGTCACAAACAAAACTTAACTATTGATGTAGGAAATCACTCGATACTACAAATGAGCTACAGTTTGTTGGCATAAGTCAAGTATAGATTACATAAACCCCAACCAACTGATCATTTACCAAGCACAGATTTAACAAGCCAAGATTAACCTCAGGGGAATGCATTAAACGGCAAGATGTGGGAAAAACTACAAATAAATATATATGCAAGTAGTGGATCAGTTACATGGAATGAAGGTCAATAACATGGCATGAAAAAATGTATATCACTAACCTTTTCAGCAAAATAGTAGCAAACAGCAAATTTGATCTGGGTAGGATATGTAACTACAATCATAACAATTTTTTTTTCAAAAATGAACTCTGATGACACCAACATCATACATCATTAGCTTCGCTACCATTTAGCAAAAATATACTACCCTTTAGTTGAAATATAGAGACAAGGACAACCTAGATGTAATCCACAGCAAGGTGGCATTGTCCCTATGACCATTACTGTCCCCTGAGCAGTTCTTCATCACAGTGAAGAATCCAGATTAGCGATCACCACACAATCTATGAATGACACCTTCACTTACAACAGTTACACCTCTCATTCTACAGAAGAATCTGTATCCGCAGTAATCATTTAAGAATATTTTTTTGACAACGGCTCTATGTTTGGAGACATTATTGATGTGAAGCAGATTTGCACACAAGGGAGTGCTGTTAAATATGGACCAAGCAAAATTTATTGAAATATTGACAAAACAGGCTGGGTAAATGATGAATGTAGGGACAAAATATGAATAAAATTCTGAAAATTTGAACAGAGGAAACAGAAGCTACACTAGTCAACTGAATGATAAAAAACAAATAAAGAAAGACTTTTCTGCATCCTTGACAACCTCAGGAGAAATAATTATACTTTATAATAGATGAACTGAATTTCAATGTTTGCAGTAAATGGTTATGGATAGAACTGGCATAGGCAAACATACATTAAATATTTGGTTTAAAAAATAGCCACGTTGTTCTCAAAGGGGAGTAGAAAATCAGTTTTTGTTGGACAGATCACTTTCTAGTATGTAATTATGTCACTTGAGTAATGCATCAACATTAAAATGACCTCCAACACAACACAAGCAGAATTTATGTTCAAATGCCATATGTTGCACGAAGTTGTATATCATACCTGAAAAAAATAAGTGGCGTTTTCCTTCAATAATCAAACATCAATTTTGTCCATCCACAGACATGATGTGAGTGTGTCTCTCTTTCTCCCTCTTGTGGACACATGTAAAAGGGACATTGCATTAAATATTAATCTCAAATGTTGTGTAATTTAGTAAGCAGTGGACAAGGTATAACAACACACCTTACAGAAAGACTCAAATCTAATCCAAGGTCTCCTTTTCTAGTCCAAACCCATCGATGACACATGCACACAGGCAGGAACATCAGTCTGTCTCAACCTGTCTCTCCTAGCAGCAATGAGACCTTGATAGGTTAATGTGCATTTTATAATTTGTCATTTGAAGCGCCATACCAATATGTCAAGTCTATTTCTCACAAACAGTATGCATTGGTACCCTTTTTATTTGATTTAAGACTTTGTATTTTTATTAAGAAGGCTATACCAGACGCATAATCACTATACATTGATTTAACATTACCTTTACAATTAAATCTTTCACTGAAATTACAGAATAAATATATGCACATTTTTATCTTTGTCAAATCTTTGTGAGAGAGAGAAAACATTAAAAGTGCTTCCTAAAAAGCTGTTAGTGATAGTATCGGGGGGGGGGGGGGTGAGTTTGGGTAAGTGCCCTTTTTTTTTTTCAATTCAATTAGAATCTATATGATTTCTCCAAGACTTCGAGGTAATCCGGCTTGGTTTGGAGTTTTGCCCTTAATTCGAGGTATTCACTTTGGGTTTGCTCAGGGAATCCTTTCCCTGCAGTGAAAAGTAATGTTTCTTTTAATCTGGCGTCTTGCTGTAAATCAGGGTATTGCATTCCGGGTGGATGTGCATGTGCAACGTGCATGTCCTTTAATTTGGGAACGGTGCCGTACAGGCAGTCTACAAAACCCACCGTAGGGGTCGGTCTCTGGCTCTCAATCACAGTAGGGCAAAGCACTCCGTTCTCGTGAAAGCCTGCCATGTCACCTGACTGATTGATGGCGACAATGGTGTTGAGCTGGGAATTGGACACAGCCATGGTCCATTCCTTCTCTTTCTCCAGAAGAGTTCGATAATTACTGTTATTTTCCTTGGTTTCTGTAAACTGCTCGCCCTCGATCTCTCCTTCTCGTGGTTTGTAAATTGGATTGTTACACATTTGAGTAACGGGATGGGGGATGTAGTCGTAGATGTGACCGGGTGGCTTCTCAGGCGAGGCGGTTTGTCTTTCTTCAAAGATCTTGCACTGCATTTGAATGCCCGTAAGGTCCACCTCCTGACGCTTCCTGAAGGGAAGTTTTTTTCGCCTCCGTAGGACGAATGCAAAGAGACCGGCAGCCACAAACACAGAGGAGATGAAGAGAATCAGTAGGCTGAGAATCATCACAGAGAGCGGAACAGCTCCCGCCGTTGGCGCTTGTCCTAACTCAGAGCCGCTGGTGGCCGTCATTTCATTGGGCAGGACTGGAGAAGAAGCGGTGAATTTCAACTCAGGGCATATGACCTCAGACTCCAGGGTGCGCAGATCCTTGCCAAGAGTGAAGTCCGGGGTCTTGCAGGTCACTTCTCCCACAACAATGACGGAGCTGAGCTTCTCAATCCACTGCTTGAGTGGGATTATGTCGCAAGAGCAGTCCCAAGGATTCTGGTGAAGGTCGATTTGAACAATGGAGTGGAGATGCTCCAGTACTCCGCTCACAGGAAGGTACAGAAAGTAGTTGTTGCGCAGGTTGAGCCTAGCCAGGGAGGTGCCAGCAAATGCATCCATGGGCAGGGTGCGCAGCAGGTTGTCATTGAGAAAAACCAACTGCAGGTTTGGCATGAGGCTGAAGGCGGCCGGTTGGATCTCTCGAATGACATTGTACTCGAAATACAGGTAACTAAGTGCCTGCAGACCACGAAACATGCCTGGAGTGAGCCTTTCAATGTCGTTGCCATTCAAGTATAAACTTTTTAAATTAGGTAGGTTCATAAAGGCGCCTTCTTGAACATATGATATCCGATTATTACCCAAGTGCAATAAATCCAAGCTAGAGAAGTTCCAAAAATCTGACCTGTAAATTTTCTGAATCAAATTCCCACTTAGATAGAGTTTCTTGGCATTGAGTGGTCGTGGCAGCAGCTCAGAAATGTTGTGGAAACCTTTCTCTTTACAATTGACAGTGAGGCCCAAGTCAGTAATGTGTAAATTGCACATGCACCCTGTGGGGCAAATGATTGGTATAGGGGGTCTGGTCTGGTAGGCAGCGATTGGAGGCTGATTCAGTCCTGGGTAAATGCTACGAGGAGTGGGTGGTGTTTTTGTGGGTCTGGGCCGTTTAGTCGGCTTTACGTGTCTCTCTCTGTACTCTACTGAGGAGGCTGTGTTATGAAAAGATGACAACATAGACGAAGGCTTGGTGGGCCAGACATTTTCATTATTAAACGGTAATCTGGGAATGCCATGTTTGGCCTCCAGCTCTGCTTCAGAAAGTAAGGGACAAAGTTCACTTCTCTTGATCTCACGAAGGTCCTTACCGTGTAAATGAAAAGGGTATTCACAAGTAATGTCGCCCACCAGTGCTGTGTAGGGAATGCGCTCCAGCCAGGCTTTGAGCTGCACAATGTCACACACACAGTTCCATGGATTTTCCTCTAGCTGAATCTCCATCAAGCTGCGACCGATGTATTCCAGCGTCCCTTTATAGGGTAGAATTCTTAAGCGGTTGCCACGTAAGTCAAGGTGCGTGAGAGATACGGACCTGAATAATAAACTGGGTAGCACGGGTATCAAATTGTCGTTCAAAATAAGTACTCTGAGTTTGTGCAGGTTCCGAAACGCCCCGCTCTCTATTCTCTTGATGACGTTGTAATCCGCCTGAAGATACTCGAGGCTCTCCAGCCCCATAAAAGTGTCATTCCTGAACACCTCCAGTTTGTTTTCATGCAGAAATAGCTTTTTCAAGATGCTCAGGCCATTGAACGCGCCCACATGTATGTCCTGTAGTGCATTATTCCCCAGATTGAGCGACACAGCATTGTTGAGGTGCAAAAAGCTGTTAAAATACAGTTTGCGCATGGAGTTCCTCTGCAGATTGAGTTTAAAGGGTCTCGTCCACGTCTGGGAGATCTGGCTGACATTTGTAAATCCTTTGCTGTCGCAGTGGACATTGAAAATACCCTCCTTGACTTCACAGTAGCAAGGGTCAAAGCAAGGCTCATCTATTTCTTCCGACTCATCCAACAGAGGGATCGGCGTAGTCCATCCTAAAGCTATTGTGCTTAGCAGGGTAAACCACAGCATCCTTCCGCCGAGTCTTGATGAAGTTGAGGCTGAGAGCCACTTCACAGCACTGCAACAAAACACAGAAAAAAAGATCAGATGAGAAGGCTCAGACAGCGAGTGACAGTTGCAATGCTTTGAGCGTTTCACACAATAAACTACACAACAAACACCTCCTCCTTCCACACCATGACATGTTTACGATAAAGATCAGGCATTATCATGGGTTTGACATCTTTCACTCGATGATAGCTTACACTACACCCAAAAAAAAGGACTCAAGGGCATAATCACCACTAATGC